AGACAGACAGACACACAGACAGACAGACACACAGACAGACAGACAGACAGACAGACACACACACAGACAGACAAACCCTTTTAAGAGACGTAGAGTAAAGGGTGATAATAATCCAGGTGTACAAATGGAACAGGGAGTTAATTAAAGGCACAAATATAGATTGGACAGGTTAATGAGAGGTGCTGATTGGGTGTGAAAATAAGACCTGCCTTCACCTGGGTCAACCAATACACCTGTAGTGACCTTTGTAATCAAGTTTCAATATGTATATGTGTGTGTGGTGGTAATTTATCACTTAAACTGTTTACTAGATTTGAGATACTTCCGTTTATTAGTGGCATAGTTATGTCAGTAAGGTAATGTGACGTGAAGTAGTGTACCCCCGGGGAGGAGCTACTGTGGTGACCCAACCTTATATAACTCACAGTAATACACCGGGTCACCAGGGGGAGGTGTGGTTGACGGTGGGTTGGATTGAGTTCATATCCTTATCTTTTTAAAGTCAAGGGAAGATATTCACTACTGGATGCCCTGGACGCGAACCACTGAACCTGTGGACGGGGGTTGAATACTGTATCCACTCGGCTTCTGCACCCTCGCGTTTTTCGTAATTAGGTTTTTAAGTGTTTGATCTGACGTAGTTGATGGTAGTAATTAGGAGGTTGTTAGTGTAGTAGTCAGAAAGTAGCTAGGGTAGTAATCAGGGAAGTACTTGGTGGGTAATAAGGAAGTACTCGTCGACAGTACCTGAAGGCCAACAAGTAGCAGTAGTTTACCCGCAACAGTGACAAGTTAAGGCGGGTAAAAGTACTGGATGTCTATCAGTTTCCAAACCCTGGCCACGAATCCATTAATTGTGAAGGTCTTGGTACAGTACAGCACGCCCCCCCTGAAGCCAAGGTCACCACCACACACACGCCAGCAGCCTCCGTCACCCCACGTGGTCAGCTGATGGTGGTTCCGGGCTGACCCTCTCTGTTCCGACCAGGTGTAGAGACCCTGTGTGAGGGGGTGTACTGCAGTGAGGAAGGAGGAGGAGGAAGGGGTGGGGAGGGAAGAGGTGAGTCAGGTGGATAGGGAGAGAGGGAGGGGGCGGGAGGGGGGAGGAGGCTTGGGTGTAGGGAGGGTATAGAGATTTGAGGGAGGGATAGCGAGAGGGAGGAGAGGGGTTGGGGGGGAAACACAACTGAGAGACAGAGGCGGAGAGAGGTCACACCCACACAGCGTTGTACAGTATGTAGTTCGCCTCAACATCTACCAATATACTAATTACACCTGACACACACACCTGTATCGTATTTACACATGTTATTCGTCACCTGTGTGTATAGTGAGTCATACAACCTTTGCAGGGGTCAGAGAAAATACAAGTACCACGAACACCTGTGCCGACCTGAGGGAAAAGAAGTGGTCTTGTGATGATGTCATAAGGGGGGGGGGCAGACGTGACAGGTGGGCTCATATCATGGGTTCACCTGTGCTCTGACGCACCTTAACCCATGAGTCAGACGCATAGAGAGAGTGAGAAAGTGTGGTATGTGTGTGTGTGTCACCGTTGCTGCGTAGGTGACCTCGTGGAGTGGTATGTGTTGAAGTGATAGTTTAGAATTTAAGCAAAAAGAGAATTTGGATAGGTGACACACACACACACACACACACACACACACACACACACACACACCTCTTTGTGGCACCAGCATTTACCAGCCTTCGTTTAGTGCCAAAAGATGAATCGGCACTTTATACCAACATCCTCCACCTAACCTACTTCACACCTTCCTGCAAGACGTCTTGGAAGGTAATGTGTTCACCACTGTCATCTCTGAGGAACTGTGTCGTAATAATATACTTGACCTATTTAGAGCATGGCGTAGTGTGGGTTATGCTGGTAGTGTGGGTCATGCAGGTGGTGTGGGTCATGGGTTAGTGTGGGTCATGGGTTAGCGTGGGTCATGGGTTAGCGTGGGTCATGCAGGTGGTGTGGGTCATGGGTTAGTGTGGGTCATGCAGGTGGTGTGGGTCATGGGTTAGTGTGGGTCATGCAGACAGTGTTTCTCTTCCTTTAAAAACAATGAAAGGTTAAGACAATATGAAAATAATTTGTTAAATCTAGGAAAATTTTGTCTTAGCCTCTGCCTGCCACCTCGCACACACCCTGGTCCCTCTCACCTCCTCCCTCTCACGCCCCACTCCCTCTCATGCCCCACTCCTCTCACCCTCCTCCCTCTCATGCCCCCACTCCTCTCACACATTCTCGCCACCTCCCAACACACCCTCGCCCACCCACCCCTCCCACACACCTCTACCCAACACACCCCTCCCTCTCTCTGACCCCCACACACACCTCTCACCCCCACACACCTCTCACCCCCCCCATCTAACTCAACTTACACGCACACACACACTCTTACACCTCTCCCCTCTCCCTAGTTATTCCCTTCTCGTCTCCCTTCGTCTTCCTCTTTCTTCATCTTCATTCTTCCTCACTGTTCCTTCTCATCTTCCTCTTCTATCATCCATCTCCTCTCCTCTTCTTCCTCTTCGCCATCCTCCTCCCTCAGCTTATTCATCTTTCTCCTCCCCATCTCCCTCTTTCTTCTCTCAATCTTCCTCCCCCTGTCTTATCTATCTCATCCTCCCTCATCCTCTCCTCAGCATCACTCTTCCTCCTACTCCTCCTCCTCCTTCATCTCCAGAAGCCACCCACGTGACTCGTTGTGTAAGGCAGGATATTTTGGTCACTGTTTTATGCAGTCTCTCTCTCTCTCTCTCTCTCTCTCTCTCATTCTGGGTCCGTCTTACTAGCCACATGAGCCTAGGAGGATGGCTGGACCCACTACACCCCTCTGGTCCAAGCTGTGTGTTGCGGAACCGTTAGTGGACCACTCCTCCAGCCTGTAGTGCCATTCTTGTGGATCGATATGTTCTGACCACTCCACTGTACCGATAGTACCTGGACCGATTTCCAACACTCCACACCTCCGTCCCTCCATGATACACTACTCACGGTACAGGAGACGACCCTGTTAGAGTAGTGACGTCACGCTTCCCCTAATGTGCCCACATGTACACAAGGGGGACATGTACACAAGGGGGACATGTACACAAGGAGGACATGTACACAAGGGGGACATGTACACAAGGGGGACATGTACACAAGGGGGACATGTACACAAGTTGGACATGTACACAAGGGGGAAATGTACACTTTTTATAATTATCGCCATGGGAGGAGGCCGTGTGTGTATTTTTTTTCATCTATCCCTACGTCTATCCGTTTATCCGCCAGTCTCCGTCTTGCCGCCCATCCTTTAGCACCTATCCACCTATCCGTCCGTCCATCTGAGTGGTGAATGGAATAGAATGAGTAGACAGTAGTGGATTATCATTACCCCAGGTCATTGATACATACCATAATAAGATTGGAGACGAGTTTCACTAATTATTATTTTGCGTTTTCTTGTAGGGCCGAGTTAGATTTTTATTTATTATTTATTTATTTATTTATTTGGGATTAAATGAGTTCTCTCCCCCTTCCTCCTCCCCTTCCTCCCTCCCTTCCTCCCTCCCCCTTTAATTGTAAGGTGTTTTTTCTCTCCCATAAGTCATAGAGAGAGAGAGAGAAATCTGTAAATCCTCCTTCTGGAATGCCAAGGAAAAAAATATATTAAATTCATATGAAGTTTTTTCTCGTTTTGAAGCCCAGGAACAAAGCTAGCAGATGGTTGGTTAAGATATTAATTAAGACTTGGTTTGTTTATACTTGATACTGAGGGTCTAGTGTGTGTGTGTGTGTGTGTGTGTGTGTGTGTGTGTGTGTGTGTGTGTAGTATCCTCTTCCTCCTCCTCTTCCTTCCTTATCTTCCTTCTTGTAAACTGGCTTCCCATCTCTCTCTCTCTCTATCTCTACATCTACTGGTGCTGACACGCTCTTTACAGTGAATCATCAGATCAACAACACCTATTGTCTTGGCCTTCCCTTCATCAGCGTCCAGTAAAACTTAAACAAGGATTATGCAAATGAACCTCCTAACCTAACCTGACCTAACCTAACCTGACCTTACCTGACCTAACCTTACCTGATCTAACCTAACCTAACCTAACCTGACCTAACCTGACCTGACCTAACCTGACCTAACCTGACCTGACCTGACCTGACCTGACCTTAACCTGGACCTAACCTGGACCTAACCTGACCTAACCTAACCTGACCTTACCTGACCTAACCTTACCTGATCTAACCTAACCTAACCTAACCTGACCTAACCTGACCTGACCTAACCTGACCTAACCTGACCTGACCTGACCTGACCTGACCTGACCTAACTTAACCTAACCAAAGATGATAAGGATGATTCATAAGGCTCTTGAGTTCTTGTGATTTGAGGATTCTGGTAGTTTTTTGAGGTAAAAGGATGATGATTTAGGATGTTGGTCTAGAATGATATGAAGGATGATATAGGATTCTACAGTAGTTTCTTAAGCCCAGGAGGATGATATAGGATTCTAGTTTCTTGAGCCTTGAAGGATGACGACTTAGGAGGATGCCAGAGTCCTGTGGCAGAGTCAGTGTAAACATCCTGAGGGTGGTGAAGGGGGAGAGGAGAGGACGCTATACACCCACACCTCCGTCAGGTAATGGTCTCCCAAGTTCCTGTTGATATCTGGTGTAAACTACTGAGGCTAATGACTGAGTGATAGATCTGGTGTGAGAGAGAGAGAGAGAGAGAGAGAGAGAAGGGGCGGGGGGTAGAGAAAGAGAGAGGGGAGGCGTGGGAACAGCAAAAGTGGTTGGGCCGGACCTCCACATCCTGATTGAAGTGACAAGGTGTGAGGAAGGTAGAGGCAGCGGAGTGGCGGGAAGGTAGAAGGGCACGGGGACTCACTCAAACACCTGCCAGCGCGTGAGAGAAGCGTGTGTTTGTGTGTAGATGTGCGTGCGTGCGTGCGTGTGTGTGTGTGTGAGAGAGAGAGAGAGAGGCGACCAGCAGCAGCCACCACTACCACCAGCAGTTGTGCCTCAGCTGTGATGTGAGTTGTACCGCGCGCTCCTCCGCTCCGTGTCCCTCGTCCACACCATCCTGAAACATTATCAGCTCTCTCTCTTTTAATGCGCATTTCCGTTTATCACTAAGTAGAGGTATAATGTCCTTGATGCCTTTGTGAATAAAGATATACGAGTTTATGATGAAACTCCATAGTGTGTCTGTGTGTTGGTTGACGTGTGTACTATGTGTGTGGGGTTTTTTATATATCTAAAATGCGTTGTTCCTCACCATAGAAAACTGATAATAAGTTCTGTAAGATTTAATGTGGTGTTGGTGAGGTTAATACTGTGTGCTGGGTTAAGAGTAGTAAAGCCTGGTGCACCACTGTCCCGGGACAAGATAATGATGTGAAACACTGCCCCGTCTCTTCCTTGCCACGCTGACCGTAAGCTTGACTGGCCGGGACGGTTGGTTGGTGGTGTAGAAACTACCTGGCCATACCTGTGTGTGTGTGTACCTGTCTACCCCTTTCCTGATGTGTCCTACTGCAAGCAACAACCACGCAGCCTACACACACACACCCCATCCGTCTTCTAGACCCCGTCATCAACCATAAGTATTACGATCACAACAGTAGCGGTTGGCTGGCTGGCTATCTCTGAGAGCTGACAGCACATCCGCTGGTTTGTAATGCTGCCAGCCACTCGACCCAAGGGATGTCTGTGTCAGCCTTCTATTTTGCTGCTACTGAACAACACACTATCCCCCGCTAACCTCTTTCGTGTGATATGTTCTTGGTTCACGTGGAGTTTAAGCCCCCCCCTCTCCCCCCCCTAACACCCCCCAGGTAGCTTTAAGGTGTTTAATCATCAGGTAAGATAAGCTACAGGTGTGGGGATGGCTTAGTCTTCATATGATCCTTAACGACGAATGTAATTTTTTTTTCCATATGATTTTGTTATCGAGAAGTTGTGGTATAAACCTGTATCTTCTTGTGGTCATTAGGTGTCAACACAAGGATTTTAAAGTCCCTCCCTCCTCCCCCAGAGAGACTCGGGGAAGACGGTGGGGTGTGGGATTAAGTAGGTCATGGTGTAGTGTGCATAGTGCCTGAGAGAGAGAGAGAGAGAGTACTTATCAGAAAGACGTGCCATCACCCCCTCACGAGAACAAGCCCTCACACTTAAAGCTATACTTAACGCCAGACCACTGAGGCTCCTTCGTGATGTTGAGAGTAACTTGTGTCTGACTCACCTGTACGGAAGTGTGGACTGGGGTGTAGTGGTGATTGGGTACTGGGTGTAGTAGTGGTACTGGGGTGTAGAACTGGGGTGTAGTGATGACTGTGTACCAAAATGGCGATGCAGTGGTTAATCTTGTGAGGTGATATAAGCTGTGGTAGATATTCTTCAGGTGATACAGTTCCTCAGTTAGTCAGTCAAGCAGTCAGTCAGTCAGTCAGTCGGGGAAGGAAAATTTTAACACCTTACGAGAACACAAGATTTATAGTGTGTTGATTATTGTAACACACACACACACACACACACACACACACGCACGCACATAGTTCTTAGATATGTGAATTATTTTAAGTTAGTTTTTCGAGCGGATATTTCTGTGTGTGTGTGTGTGTGTGTGTGTGTGTGTGGATTAAAATACCTGCCATAATTAACTACATATCAAATTTCCTATTTAACAAAACCACAACACGATACAAAATTAACCCTGGTAACAATAGCTGGTTGAGAACAATGTTTCAGGCGAGTTAACAATAGTAATGTTAGCCGGAAATAGTCGGTGTTGCGTGTGTGTGTGTGTGTCCCTCCCAACGCTCACTCTAGACTGTTAAATACGTCACTTAACAGTCACACACACTTATACCAGTTATATGCGTCACTTTAGACTGTAGTATAACTGTCCCTGTCATGTGTGTGTCGGGGTTCCATAAATGATAGTGATTATAGACTGTTAATATGACTGTTTAATGAGTAATAAGACTGTTAATGGGCATTGACTGGTGTGAGTGTCGTGTAACAGTTAAGAAGAAACTGGTCGACATGGAACTTAGATGGGGAGATGGGGTGGTGACGGGTAGAAGGGGAGAGTTGGTGACAGTGGGGGTGATGGTGGCAATGGTGGGTTGGGAAGGGGGATGGCAGGCAGGGGGGGGTATCATGGTCACGGGTCACTGCTGCCCACACTTTTTTTATTGACAACATGCTGTTTTGTCTGCCCACATAACAACGCTGCTTCCACCCACCCACCCCCCGCCCGCTTCGCCCCCTCCTCCCCAGACTCACTTCCTCCCCCCCACCCCTCCCCCTATTCCCCCCTACATGTTCAATAATTAAATAATATATGAAATTTAATAGCCATAAATATAGCAATATGTGTTAACTTAATAGCTATAAGGATAAAAATATGGCTACTTAATAGCTCTATGCTATTAACTTTAGCCTGTGTTCTGTGTGTGAGGAAAGTGAGTGGGCTTCTTTTTTACGCGTTTCTGATTATATCTCCGTTATGGTTTGGTTAGGTTAAGTTTGGTTAGGTTAGGTTAGGTTAGGTTTCTGTAATTATCTTGTCTGTGTGAATGAGTGAGAGAGAAGGAAGTGTGTGTGTGTGAGAGGGAAGTGTGTGTGTGTGAGAGGGAAGTGTGTGTGTGTGTGAGAGGGAAGTGTGTGTGTGTGTGAGAGGGAAGTGTGTGTGAGGAAGTGTGTGTGTGTGTGAGAGGGAAGTGTGTGTGTGTGTGAGAGGGAAGTGAGAGGAAGTGTGAGAGGGAAGTGTGTGTGTGAGGAAGTGTGTGTGTGAGAGGGAAGTGTGTGTCTGTGCAGAGGAAGTGTGTGAGAGGGAAGTGTGTGTGTGTGTGAGAGGGAAGTGTGTGTGTGTGTGTGTCTTAGTGTTTAAGTGCAGTTGTTATCTTATCCAGGTTAAGGCAGCAGCCACCAATCCACTTTCTACACTTGTCATCAACCCTGGAATGACAGACGGACATTACACCACTACCTGTATTGTGTATGTCAGTCTGTATGTGGTCTTTTGTCTGTCATGGAGGTTAGGTTAGGTTAGGGTGGGTTAGGTTAGGTTAGGTTAGGTTGGGTTGGGTTAGGTTGGGTTGGGTTAGGTAAGGTTGGGTTAGGTAAGAAGGGGTTAGGCTAAGAAGTTAAGAAGAAGCTGCTAGGTTGGGGTGGGTTAGGTTGTTAGGTTGGTGCTTGGTTTGGTTAGTTGCTAGGTTGCTAGGCTGGGTTGCTAGGTTAGGTTAGGTTAGGTTGGGTTAGGTTTGGTTTGGTTGGGTTAGGTTACACTATCATCCCCCTGTGTAACCGCCCTTGGAGTATGACTTGAGGATATCTGTTTACTTACCGTCCCTCGAGGAGTAACTTGAGGAGAGTTGTAAAAGGTTATAACAACAACAACTATGGATGTTATATGTGAGGTATAGTGTGTTATGCCTCTTTACAACCCGGAGTTAGGTTCCTTACACTTTGTTATGAGGAAGCGGAAGACTTAAACCTAACCTAACCCAACCCAACCTAACCCAACCCAACCCAACCCAACCCAACCTAACCTAACCTAACCCAACCCAACCCAACCCAACCTAACCTAACCTAACCCAACCTAACCTAACCTAACCTAACCATACCTGTTAATTGGTACACCTCACTGAACCTTCCCTCCACCAACACCTTCACGTTATAGGAGTAGAGAACCATAGAGTAAATTACCTGCAGAAGAGACGATACCTCCTTCAGGTTGGTCATGAATATATTACATACGACAGGAAATATAACTGAGGTTAATAAAGGCTAAGTCGACCTTCACACCCACCCACCCACCTTCTCTGATCACCCTCTTAACCTTGTAGAATTTTTTTAACCAATAGGAAACGAAATTAACCAGGCGTGTTAACCCATCCAATGTAAAACGTTTGGTTAAGAATATCCCATTGGTTTTGGCTTGTACGAATATACATACATACATTCATACATACATACATACATACATACATACATACATACATACATACATACATACATAGAGCCGACCTAAATACAGGAGTTTTCCCCTTTAATCGAAGCTAATAAAGACCCGTTTTCTTTCCTCGTTACAAAGGGCGTTTCATTTTTTACTACCTGTAGTTTTGTCGAGTAGGTCACAGATAGTTATATAGCCGTGGTTAATATGATTGGTGAGGTGATGGTGAGGTATGTGCTGTAGTGATAGTGATGATGATGAATTTGATTTTTATACTTTGAAAATTATAGTGATGATGATGACAGGTGATGATAATGATCGGTGATAATGATAATGGCAGATGGTGATGATGACAGTGCCTGGTGGTGATAGTGACAGATAATAATAGTGATCTCTTGGTAATAATAACAATGGTGATTTTCATAACCAAAAAAAAAAGACTAACAATGACGAGCGTTATGGACAGGTGAGATAGGTCAGTCATTAGGGGGATCTCACCTTGGTTGGCACGTAGTCTCTCAGGTGTGTCAGTGCCAGGTGAGTCATCTTGGCTACTTACCATGGCAGTAAATTTTAATGGCACTCATAATACTAGTGCCATGTTGTGTGGGTTTTTTTTGTACACACACATGCCATTACCACACACACACACACACCGCTGGGGGATAGTGAGTGAGGAGGCTGGGGGATAGTGAGTGAGGAGGCTGGGGGATAGTGAGTGAGGAGGCTGGGGGATAGTGAGTGAGGAGGCTGGGGGATAGTGAGTGAGGAGGCTGGGGGATAGTGAGTGAGGAGGCTGGGGGATAGTGATTTGTTTGTGTAGAGAAAGGAGTGGTGAGAGAAGATTAGAGGTGGGGGAAGGAAGTTATAGTTCGGAAATTGAAGAAGTTTAGGAGGAGGTAAGAGAGGGCGGGCTGACTAAGCTAATAGTGTGTTAGGGTTGTGTCATGGGTTAGTTATTGTCTGTCGGTACAGGCACTAGACATCCTACCCTATCCCATATATGGGTGTTTTAAGGGCCTTATTTCATATTCCGCTGACCCTACTGGCGGATGCTGGTCTAGGGAGGTTGTCTATTGCCTGGCCGTGTAGATCGGGGGTGGTAATGGACCTTTTGAGATTTCGTAGCTTTTTGGGAACAATGTATGGTGGTTGTCGTTATCTGGTGGGAGTCTTT